TTGCTTATCAGTTTTTGTACAGAGTGCTACTAGAGGACTTTTGATAGCAGTAAATAACAGCAAACAATTTATTTTCGAGCGATGTTTCGTATAAAGCTATATCCATTCCATTTTAACTAACGACTCAAAAGTTGGAAGTAATCTATTTATTACGATTTGCTTCAATCTCTGAATGAACAAGTCTCATGTGTTGGATTTAAAAGCTACATAGTTACTACTACATATCTATACAGCCACACAACGAAATTTGTTCTTTTTATTGGTGTTACAGAAAATTATAGCAAAATGATTAATGTTTTCTATTCTAAATAACGGTTTTTAAGTGTCGAATATTGTATTGCTCAGAAATTTTGTAAGCAAGAAGGATCCGATAAGCATAGATAATCAGTACTGCGTGTCTCGTGTATGTGCACAAAATTTCAAGTTGAGAGCTGCAATAAATAAATGAAGAAATTGCTTCTAACCCCTTTTCTGCTCACGATGCCGCCCCCTCCCCTCCTTGGCTACACATCTGTATCAGAATTCCCTTTCTCTTTAATAGAAGACAACTATGCGTGCTATTATATTGAGAGAGACAAATCTTCAAGAACGTCTTCTACTAGATTTCTCATATTTGATTAATGATAATTAAAGGTTACCCAAAATTTCGCGGCACCTTGTAGGAGCAGAAAACATTTTTTCAGGATTCAAAAAGATACAGAAACGTTTTAGTTTCAGTCTACATCGATTTTCAACTTGGAATCCCGAGAACTAAGCATATTTCCGATTGAATATATTCGTTGACATATTAGTTATAATTAATTCAATGGCTACGGAAGAGTCTTCTATATTCAAAGTATCCCTCCCTCATCGCCGTTAAATACCGTGGAATCTTCTGATGCGAAATCTTCTTTCATAATGGTACAGTTCGGATAATAATGGTGTGAAATAAAAGGAGCGAGTTATAATCAATAGGGGTACGACAGTTTAGTTTTAGTTCCGATTTGACGAACTGTTCAGATAGTTCTTTCCATCTGATCTGAACTGTTCAAGCAGATCATATTCGATTTCGAGAACTGTTCAGACAGTTCTTTCGCTCATTTGACATGAACTTTGATCTGAGAGCTGTTATACCCCTAATAGTCAAAGAACCCATAACAGTCGCTCACCGAACAGTTGGTCTCACGGCATTTTGTTTTTTACGGCTATTGATTAGAACTACGAGCCATGAAAAGATCAATTAGAAAAGGACTGAAATAACGTGTTGGTTTGGTCCTCACTCTCGCTTTCACGTCCACCCTGGCCATTATCCTCACCATCAGCTCTCTTAATATCGTGGGAGCAATTGTCGTTTTACCACCATTGAATTGTTCTGTCGGGATCTTTATATGAGTTTGTATCGACGGGAATGCACACACGACCTCTTGGGGCCGTTGGAATTAACAGAAGTTAAGTGCGGGGCAGACGATAACCGTATCGATTGTAGCCATGAGAGCCCAGATGAAAGCGTATGAATTGGTTCCCTGCTGGAAAATTCGAGAAAATTGAAGTAGCAATACGACTGTCCATTTGTTTTCTGTTTCCAGAGAGAATCGACTGAAACGGAGCACAACTGGCCACTGAAACTGGACAGTCGTATTCCTGCTTCCAAATTTGACTATTTTCGAGGAGTTTCCGACTGAAATCAGTGACTTGCTGGTGCTGGTCGGTTCATGCCGGAAAGCCACTGGAACCAGCACCGGGATATTAACGAGGGAGGAGCATCGCTTGCATTCATGAATATCGAATATTCAAACGCTTGAAAAACGTCCTACATGGATGAATGCTGGGCGGAAGCCGATCAGATCTCGTAAGATCCTATCAGTAGACAAATTGCGATAGGAATCTAGGTGCCTAAACCACTAAAGTATCCATCGTGTTGGAATGCTTTTACCGGATTTCTCATGACTTCCGACCACATTCGAGTCTAGGGATTCGTGAGGAATTCCATCACCTGGATTCTGACGAAATCATGCAGAATACTACCGGATTTTGTTGAATCTTATCGGATTCCGATGAGTGTCATATAGAATTCAATAAGATTCAACTGCGAATCGATTATCTTGAGGATAAAAAATTATCTGAAAGTCTTTTTTTTAGAGTGGGCACATACGAAAAATTCAAAATATAGCCTGTGAGATTTTACGTGTCACAATACGAGAAAAAAGAATTTTGAATGAAATTTTTGTTTCTGAGATCCGACAGTAAATGTGATTTTGGGCGGAAACAAGACATTTTACTGTAGGAAGAGTCTTTCACTGGCCATGCTTAGAAACATTAAACAGAAGATAATTTTGTGAAGTAATATGATAAGAGTTTGACTAAAAATAGTATGGTTTTAACAGCAGCTTTAAAGAACACTTGTTTATTTAAAGACAACGTTGCGACAATTTTATTGTCGTTTTCAAAGCAAACCAACGAGTGAATTTACAAAAGAACAAGACATATATATTCAATCAGAACTAAGACGACAAAGGACTAATTGGTGTTCGACTATATTGAATATAAAAATTGAAAATATATGTCTTGTTCTTTTGTAAATTCACTTATTTGTTTGTCTTGAAAATAACAATAAAATTGTCGAAACGTCGACTTAAAATAAACAAAAAAGCTCTTTAAAGCTGCTGTTAAAACTGTACAATTTTTACGTTAAACAGATTTCATCACAATAACTCAATCATGTTGATGACAGACACGACAGGCATCATGAGTTTTCATATTAATTAAGATACAATCTCGTAAAGTGATAGAAGAAAAAAAATGAAAAGGAAGAAAGTTGTGCTAATGTAAAACTGTTCAGTTAAAAATTAATGATTCTTCTTATGTTTAACATTTACTTTGGTTTACTGAATGAAATTAAATCAACGTGGGGGTTCAAAGTTAGTGTAAGGTCTCGTTACTAAGAATATCACTGTTTTCTAACAACTCAACTGATAAATTTTCTTACTTTCTAGGGTGTGGGTGTGGGTGTGGTTGATGGTCTTCTCATCCACTCACACCCACCCACATCCACATACACTTAGAAAGCATCAAAGGCGTGGAGGTAACAGTTCCTTTCTCTTCCATTCAGATCCCAACCCACATCCCGAAGATAGATGAAAAGTACTTTGTAAAGTGTATAAAGGAAAATGTTAAACTTTGGTAATAAGAAAGTTACTATTAAGTATTAGCAAAAAGATGAAAGTACGAAAACTTACTTTTCTCGTCGCTCGAAATGTTATAAAGTAATTGAAAAAGTAGAATTACTAATATAATTTACTACGAAGACATGAAAAGTATTGAGTAATACTTCCAAAACTATGCAAAGTCTTTCTAATTAGTATTTTGATTGTGAAAAGTATTAAAAGGTACTTTGCGTAGTGTATAAATTAATATTTTTTACTTTACTCTCAAAATAGTACTTAAAAGTACTTTGAAAAGGAGAAAAAGTGGAAGAAAATGACTTATTATCAATAGTCTTTTTTTACTTTTACTGTGACATGGGGAGAAGTATGAGAGAGATTAATCAATATGAGATTCGGAGAGAGAGAATGAGTGAACGGTTTAGACATTGACTACGTGTCCATTGTTTTTAGTTTCATATGTTCAATTGTATAGACGATGATTTAGTGCTTTTGTTGATGTTCGTCCGCCACGCTATGGAGCAAAAGAGAGAAAAAAGAAAATATGACTATCGGTGTTGACAATTTTCTTTTTCATGCTTTCTGCAAATCGTCAAATACATACACATACGTATGTTGCGGACAATTCAGATTCAGCATTCGATCAAAAAAATAAGAGATGCCTACGTGAGCGCCTTTATACGAGAGTAATATTTTCTCTTATTGTTAAAACAGTGCATCAACTTCATAGCGGCGCAGGTGTTTATTGACGTCACTGGAAAAGAAGCTAGAAAATAAAATAAAAGCAAAATTATGCGCACTGTCAGTAATCTACAGCCATATGCTTGATGTGAAAATTTAAAAGAAAGCAATTATCGACGGGGAAACTTTGAAGAGTTTGCACTGTTCGGTGTGAATGGTATTATCAGCCAACATCTACTTGTACAAAGTTTTTTTTTTTTCAACTTCATGAAGATGTAATAAAGTACCAGAAAAACATTGAAGCTAGTATCTAAGAAAGATGGTATGAGTATAGGGATATGTATGAATGTTATTGCAGTTGTTGATCTCGATAGACTTTGTATACAGCCATTCTATCAACTTTCGATTAATATTTGTATAAAAGAAGAAGTGATTCAAGTAGGCACAATTTAAATATAAAATCTTTTGAAAACGCTTGACGCTGTGAAATGAGTCTATATGACGAATATCACTTGACATCAAGCCCATAGGATTCTAAATTAACTTTACTCTATCGAAGAGATTTTTCTTGTATTGACTATTATTATTATTTGGGCGATAGTTCTCCAATATCTATTATTTGATATCAGTTTCAGCAAAATCCTACGGAGCGAAACGTGCTTTATCAGATGATGATGATTAAAACCTACTTATAAAGTAATTCGATACTTATCTTTTTCGAGTGCAGTGAACTGCATACAATGTAGCAAAATCCAATGGTGGGTACAATTTTATCGATGAAGTCATAGAATGATACATGGGCTAAGAAATCGTACTGTAAAAAGAGTTCGAAAATCCAAAATTCATTTAGTATTTTTTTTAGGTTTCAGTCTGGCAAACTTGATAAAGTTCGTTGAGTTATGTCTAGATATTGATTCTTTTTATTTTTCACTTTCGTTACATATCAAGTCTTCAGAAAACCGTTAACTATAAATAGCTTCTACCTTAGAGTACATAAATCTTTCCGAATTAGTTCAGTTTATCATCAATCTACAAGTTTCCACAATCTGTTGCCAGTTTCACATCTGAAAACAGCTTAGAAGTCTAAAAATATTCTTGAACAAATTTCAAACAACAGTCACAGTTAAATAATGTTAAAGTAGTCAATTTGAATCATTCGAGTTTTTAATGTGTTTCTACTTAATCTCCAAGTTTCAACTCGAATTTGTCTTCATTACGGTAGAGATCAGTTTCATCACGCCAGTTGCCTTCGAATTGTACATTACTTGAGTTCCATGTTAATTTCATAGTTATTGTATGTCCTATATTTTCTTTACTATCACCACCACCAGGTGTATAAGTTTTACTCAGTATTATTTGCTGCTTTTCAATAGAAAATGTCCCACCAACGTTGAATGAACCAACATCATCATATCCATGTCCAATCACTTTGCCCGTAGTATGATCAAACTCTAGTGACATTTGATGAGGCCCATGCCATCGACTATATTCCTGATATCGACTGGTCCAGTCTCCACTTTTGAAATATCCTTCTCCAGTCATTGGACGGACTCTATTGTGACTTGTATCACTAGAGTTTTGATAGCTAACAGTTGTACTTGAGACCAAACGTCGACGTCGATATCGACGATAGCAGTAAATAGACAAGAATATAATTGCTATAACAGCAAATATACCACCGACCACACTGCCGACGATAATTCCAGCTAACCTGCAATCCGAATTCACACAACTACTACCGCTTGAGCTACCTAATATTCACGTTATTTCCAAAGAAGATTCTTAGTTAACATGAAATACTCACCTCTGTAGCGACTGCTACGAATTCCGCTACCAGCAGAGTCAATATAACCAAATACGGCAAATAGTACAACGAATAAGAGCAGGCGAAGTGCAGTGTCCATGATGATATAGGCTTTGTTGTAACTATTTGATTCTATACGCTCTGTTATCCTCAATCGTGATGTATGCAATGAAGAAAAGTTGATTGTTTGACAGAACTGAATAAAAAATATGTGAGCACGGTGAGAGAAAGGTTTACATCATTTGTATATAAAAAAAAGAAAAGATGGTAAGAGACAACAAGTTCTGAAACCGTTTTTTTCCTTCTTTTCTTGTCGATCATCAGAGCACAGGTGTATATATACATTTCTGAACACTCTGATGCACATGGAGAGCGAAAAAAATAGAAGACAGGTATGCTAACACCTCATACTCATGATTTTTTTTTCTCCTTGCTAAAACATTGTGCGCGCTTCGTATCAACAGAAATGATTATCGACGCCACAGGAAGCCAAGCAAGAAGAAAACTTACAATGCAGTATGCTTTATGCAAACAAAATACGGGCATATAATAGCAATTCGACATTTTCTTTTGTAGATACTTGACAGAAGAATTGAATGCATTAATTGAAACGTCGTACATTAAGCACTGATCAGGAGCGTTGAATTTCAGTCAATCTCATAGACAACAAGTGCTAGTTGATCATGAGTGTTCACATGCTTAACTCTACATTCATTACTTGAATGAACAAATATGTAATGTCCCTATTGGAAAGTACTATAAACATAGACTTCAACTACTAATAAATCTCAGTTTTGCGCTCAAAACTTGTTGTATGTGAATGCTCTCAATTAAAATATTTTGATACGCTAAATTATCCAGACAATAGTAAGATTATGATAAAGAAAAGAAATTTTTTTTGTCAAGACGTTCATATATAATAAATTAATTCTCTATTGACTCGGGTTTTCTATTGAAGTGCCCTACCAATGATGTGGGTGTGGGTGTGGGTGCGAGAATGGGTGTGAGGATGTCTCGTGTCAGCAGAACACCCACACCCACACCCACACACCGATACCCACAATCCACACCCCACACCCTGATTGTATTTAAAAAATTATATTTGGTAAAATTTTGCTGTTGCAACTTATTAAAATTAAAGCAATTGGGTTACTTCTGAGTTTGTCGCAAAGTAAACTTGAGCAAATATNATGTTATAATCTGATTAATTGTTGAAATCAGTTTTCTTCTATGAGCCTATGAAAATAGTACTTTCCAATGATTATTCATGAAATGTTACTATATAATAAACCATAAAAAAGAAATTGAAACACTATGCTTTAAAGCAAAGAGAAAAGTAATTATGATTCAGAGTTTTAAAAATATGTTGAGGTAGGAACTTCTTGTCTTCAGCTTAGATAACATTAACAGCTAAGACACGGATCAAATCCACAATAATCTTCACAAGAAAGTATTTATTGGTTTCGAAAAGACTATTTTACGGTGGCAAATACAGAATTATCTGCTAATTTCTGCTAAAGAGAATCTATCGAACATGGTGAAATTCTCCGAGTAAGCTTTGAAGCGAACTTCACTTTATTGACTATAGGAAAAAGTCTTATTATTTTTTTTAATTTCGCAGTAAGTTCCTAGAAATCTTCTACAAGACATCCTATCAGTTTTTCCATAACGTTGTAGTATTTAGTAGGTAATTACGAAACTCATGTAAGCTCGGTTCTTGTAAATTCCACTCTTTCAGAACAATATTTTCTAAAATCTTAAACTTCTCCATTTTACAGAATAAGTTTAACTGGGTCAATTCTACTGTCCTCACTATTTTTATTCTAAAAATGTGTCTGAATCTTACGGAAATTAACATTTAGAGAAATTGAAAAAATAACCTCATGTAAATAACCGAAATTTTGAAAATCAAAAGATATCAAATTCGTATTTACCAGACAAATGATTCGTCTAGATCCTCTAAAATACCTCAGCATCACTTAGCGAATATAAAAGTCTGTAGCACATCTATGGTAGCGTATATTGACAAAAAATCCTCATTAAAAATGACGAAAACGTGAAATAAATGGGTACCATATTAATGATGGTTATTTTTCATCTAAGAATGTTTCTGTTACGATTAAAATATCTCATCAGAAAAAATAATCTTGAAAGAAAAAAATTTAGCCTTTACTAAATGTCAATCGGAACCACGCATAGGCAAATCTTCATTACAATAGCTAAGATCGATTCAGTATGATTGATTTTGATTTTCTTGCAGCGACTTCTTTAATTCTACTAAAGAGGCAAAGTCTCTAATGCTCTATGATAAACCGATTATGTTCTGCCATAAAAAGAATAATTCATGGATTACGATAGGCAAATGATTTTTATTGTACAAGTACACAACAATTTTACAATCACAATATCAAACTAAATTTCTAATGCAAGAATGAATTATATAATCAATGTTATTAATTCGCGGCATTCTTATAAGTTTCGTATAAAAACATTTTTTTTCATTGATTATTGTTCCGTATTGTTGTTTGCCGTGTTTGTTGTGTTCGTTGCATTACCTCGTTCTCATTTGGCGCTTTACGAATACATTTCAAAAATAATTTATTAACATCTTCACGAAATGCAGGAACAGATATATAAAGAAAAAATATATTAATAGCATTTCTTGCATACATTAAAGTATTTGAACCAAGAAGAACCGTATCTGTATAATCATGACCCATAATCTGATCTTTAAATACGGAAAAACATAAGCGATTAGGCAATGTACAAATAATATATGCTAAACACATTATTAATAACATAAAGGATATGCGACGATTACGATAAGCACTTCTTGCTAATTGATTATTTGTTGATATTTGTCCAACGAATAACTTTTTAATTGTTAGAAGTGTAGAAATAACAATAATACTAAATGGTATAATATACATGATAGCTAGATGCATCTTTAATAGAAAAAGAAAGAATACTAGTTTTTATTAACAATTATTAACAAAATATTTACCATTATATATGGATATACATAAAAATTATAGAAGTCAGTATTTAAAGAATAAAAACATGAAATTTTTGTTTGTACTGTACCCGTACTATTATTATAAGTTGAAGTTTCAAAACCTAATCCAAATAAAAATCCATCTATTGCAAAAAAACAAATAAGTAAAAGAATCGAAACTATCAATGCAATACGTGGTTGAGCTATATTTTTTTTAAACCATCTACTTCTTAATAAACAAGCTCGATCAAATTCAACAAACGTAAGAAACATAGCTGATGTATGTAATGTATAATAAGGAAAAAATTGACTCAATTTACACATAATCAATGATGAGCCCCACATTGTTTGTTTATTATTTGAAAACACTTGTAATGCACGACTTAAATTCCATTGATAAAGGGATATTGTATCCATCAAACATAAAAATATTAAATAAACATTAGTTGATGTTTGTCGATGGACTTTAGATAATAATATACCGATACATAAAATATTACCCAATGTACCAATTACAATGAGACCTATTGGAATAATGCCACCAATGATTAACTCAATAGTGTCCCATGGCAATGGATCTGGTTTTGGAGTCCATGTAGACATTGTCGGTTTGCTACTGCCTGCTTCTTCTTTAAATTTTATATAATGAGTACTGTAATAGTTTTACAAACTATATATAATGCTTTAAAAAAAATGAGATTCATTTTCCTTTACTCGATGTTGCTATTCTATTCACACATTGGTTGAATTCTAATCCTTTTCTATAACTAAACGAAGAAAAATAATTATAGCGAGCTCAAAACCAGATGGTATGCTTGAAACATGAAGAAAATGAATAAAGAATTAGCTTTCAAAATCGAATATCTTTTCAGATCCACAAAAATATTTTTCTGCAATCTAGAGAAAAAAGAAAAACATTGAAAATTCATAAGAATTAGAATACGAGCTTGATGATTATTTCTTTGAATATTGTCTTTTTTTTAGCAAAGTCTACATATAGTCATCGACTTTGTGAAGATAATTAGTTATATTCATTCATTAAAAAGTCTTCTACAAATAAAAGAAAAATTGAAATTTAATGCTTAAACTTAATTTGACAAATGGAATATTATATAATCATGTAATTAATGGTTAATTAAAAAGTAGTTCCCTCAATTGCAGGGAGGATCATATGAAAAACATTGGTTGTATGTGCGTGTCTACGTCGGATTCAAAAAAACATCCACTCCAGGAAATTTGCTATTAATGTTGACGAAAGTAAATCGGAATCGGAGAATCCGAATTTGAAGTCAATTTCTCAAAATTTTGAATTGACTTTTTAAGGTGAAGGAAAAATTTTTTTGAGAAAATAATAATATTCCCTCGAATGTGAGAAGAATTCTATGAAATTGAATAGTTTTTTTTCTGTTTTAGTGAGAGTGAGAGATGAAATGTCATTGATGAAATCTTGATCAAATATTTAATGCTTCGTGTTTTCAGTATTGGGTTTTGCATCAATTCGAATTTTCAGAATGAAAATTCAGTTAATCCAACAATTGTGATATGTTCTCCCTTAATCAGCTGTTTTATGACTGCGTTTCCATGGATGAGACTTGTTTTTAGCTGAGTTTTTAACTGGTGATTCTTTGTGTAGGACTGTTCTAGTCAGTGAGATATTTTGAATCTGCAATTGGAGAAAATATGAGTTCGTGGTTTCTAGTTTTTTTCACAGTATTGTCAAGTGTTAAGACATATTCTTATTGG